AAGAAAACGTGTAATTAACTATAATCATTTAATCATTCAAATAAATTACCAGGGCGATTATGAAGTTTAATTCGATTCGCTTTAAAAATTGTGTTTCAAGACATTGATTAATCGTAATCATTCAATTGTTTAATAAATTACCAGGGTGAGTACAAAGTTTAATTCGATTCGCTTTAACAATTGTGCTTCAAGAGAACGTGTGATTAACCTAACCATTTAAACATTCAAATAAATTACCAGTGGAGTATGAAGTTTAATTCAATTCGCTCTAATGATTTGTTACAAGACATTAATTAACCGTAATTATTCAATTGTTCAATAAATTACCAATGTGAGAATAAATAATTAAATTAAAATAAAATTAATATATATAGCTATAGCTATATTTAATAATTCTATAATAACTCAAAATTTTACTAAACAACCCTTGTTGTATAACTAAGCAAAGTTCTTCTTTTGCAATTTTATCATACTTTAACTCTAACCTTAATTCTAAATAGCATACAAATTCTTTATTAAGAATTATTTTGATACTATATATCATAGTACTTTGTAACTACACAGGTTTATGCTAATGAAACAGGGCAACTTGCTACTTGAACAAACCACAGTGAACTTTTTGGTTTCTCGATTTATATTTTTTTTTACTAAAGCAAAAAGTAAAAAACTTAATTTATTTTTTTTGAACTTCTTATATACCTCCAATTAGTCTACAAATTAATTATATCATAATGTCATTCATATGCACTCCTTTGACTTTTCCTTAAAATTAATACACTATCACTAATCATACAATACTTCTACTATTATCCATTATCTTATAATTCAGTTATATATTAATTAATTTTAACTATTCTTAATTATATATTATTTTATATACATTAATTAATAATACTTGATTCTGACTGATTCCTATTCGTTATTGACCCATGATACAATCGAATATACACATGATCACGAGATAATGTTTCCATATGTGAAACTTTCTAAACATGACAAATACTTATGTATCTACATATTCCATACTATTGGCCAGTGCAAAAAGATAGATACCTCAAAATTTTAATTAAAAAGCACTACTAATAAAAGTTTTTAAATTATTAATAATATAATTAAAATTTTTTTTACAAGTTGGATAATTATGGTTTAGACTATCTTTTTTTAATAATTTTATTATTTTGTAACTATTTTATATAAAAATAGATGAGAACTAACTTTTAGATAAAAAAAAAAATCAAGAAAAAAATTTTTCTTAAAAAAATAGGTTTTAATTAATATATTAATGAATTTGAAAGTTCAAGACTTGCTACTACGCAAGCAGCTAGCTATAGATTCATTTAAACTATGTTTAAAATTTTCTAAAAAACTAATCACTAGATAAAAAGTTATTAAATATTAAAGTTGATGTATTTGTATTAAAGTCATTTAATTTCTATATATACTATATATAATTTAATAGTAAAACTAAAATTAAAAGTTGCTATTAATAATTTTTTTTATATTTTATATAAATGAATATTTAAATTTTAAAATAAACTTTTTTATTATCTAATTAAATAATGTTAAATTAAAAAATTAAATTTTATAAATAAAAATATTTTTATTAATCAATCACGATTAAATTTATTATTTTTAAGTATATTAAAATTTACTTAAAAAGTTACTGCTAGTAAATTTTTTTATTTTTCATATAAAACAATTAAATAAATTATATTAAACCTATTCCTAACTTCTAAAATAATTTTTTAAATTAAAAAAAAATAAATTTTATTATTAAAAAAAATTACAATTAAGCTTTATTTGAGGTATCTATCTTTTTGCACCGGCCTATATTATTATTTATTTATTTGTTATTCTCTTTTTATATTGTCCCAATGTTCCTATTGACATCAATATTCTTCCAATATAACTCTATATACAATATATCTAGAATATTGACCTTCATTGAACTGATATTGCCTGTGACACTATGGCTACAAATAAATTAATTAATTAAAATAAATAAATTGATTAATTAATTAAAAAATTATAAAATAAAAAAATTAAAAAAATAAAAAGAATAAAAAAAAAATTAAAAAATTAAAAAAAATTAAAAAAATAAAAAAAATTAAAAAACAAAAAAAATTAAAAAAATAAAAAAAATTAAAAAATTAAAAAAAATTAAAAAAATAAAAAAAATTAAAAAAATAAAAAAGAATTAAAAAAATAAAAAAGAATTAAAAAAAATAAAAAAAAATTAAAAAAATAAAAAAAATTAAAAAAATAAAAAAAATTAAAAAAATTAAAAAAATTAAATTTTAGAATTATATTATTTTGTGCATATGCACTGTAACACACCTCATAAGATCAGGTGTAATGTGAAATCAAAACAATATTTAATTCTTAGTTAAGGGTTAGGGGAGTTAGGTTAGAGTTAGGTTAGGGTTAGGGTAGAGTGCTTTAGAAAGATAGTTCTAATTCAAAATTTTGCAAAGAATTTTTTTTGTTAGAGCACGAAGAGAGGTTTGTAAGCAAAATTATGAGCTACAAGTAATTTTTTTTAAAAGATTGCTATTTTTTCAATTTTATATTACATCTGATCTTAAATTCTAATTGGTTGATTAGTGGGTGTATTACTATGCATATGCGCTAAATTACATAACTCTAAATTTTATAATATCTAATTTTTGTAATAGATTAGTAATTAAATTTAAATGTACTGTACAAATATGTATATATATATATATCAAAATATTTGATGATTTTAATCAAAATATAAATAAGTATATCTAATTCTTAAAAAAAAGTATTATAATAAAATAGAGATTAAGAGCATCCTCAAGCGCCTTAATTAATAGGTTAAGGTATCTCAAAAATGTGTCAAGAATTAAATTTTAATTAACAGAAAGTAATTTTAATCAATCAATTGAGCTTGTTATTAAGATACATAAGGTAGTTTATTATGTGAAAAAAAATTTTAAATAGTAAAAAATGAGAAGCGAGGTTGTCATTTCTATCAAAAAAAACTTTTGTCCTTAACTACCTTTTTTTGCTCTGACTTATCAAAACCTTATAAATATTAAAATAATTAAAGTATTGTTCAAGTGTTTTTATACTTTTATTATAGATTTTCATTATCAATATATATTTTTTGCAAAATTTTCGACAAACTATTTAGAATCCTCTCAACTTGTGATTGAGATCTTTATTTTAATTCATCTTTTATTACTACAATGATTAAAAAACCATAGTAATAGCAATGTTTGAGCATATCTCAATAATATCATCATTCATATTATTAAATTTTATCCAAAATGTTATAGTAATACTTGTGCACTATTTAGATTACTATGAAATTATATCTCAATTGATACTTGAGAACACCCTAAATAAGAAAAAATTGATTTAAAATTTTTAAATTTATCATCGCTATCTAAGCCTCTAAAATTAAGTATATTCTTATATTAATTAACCATCTATCACGAGTGTCCTGTATATTTTTACTAATTATTTTTTTATGAAAAAATAAGATACAACATATATTCTTATTTATTTCGAATTACTGATTTATTTTAATGTTAAAAATATGTATAAAGGTCAGTGATGGTTATAAATTTGAGTATTTTTATGACATTTGCTAGTCTAATTCATATAGCAAGAGCACAAACTACCAAATAGCAGATCGTACAGAATGGTTTTCAAAATAAGTATTTTAAAAATTACGGAAAATCTGGATAGTTGGATGAACAAATTATATGGTAAGAGAATGTTAATAGATATTTTAAAAACTATACCATACTAACCTGATCATCTATATCATACTAAACTCGTTTTATCAATGTGAAATTTGTAAATCAAAAAAAAAAAAAATCATCACTACTACAAATTATATGATCTGTCATCATATAATATGAAGAATAGCGCCCTTGTTTTCAGCTGTAGAGAAATAATTAGATCTTCAGTTATATAAGAGCTTTTCAGACCCTCATATAACCAGAGTTTATCTCTTATTCCTGCTGTTGTGAAAATTAACAGTACATATTAAGCATTTTTTATTACTAACAAGTTTGACTAATTATAAACAACTTAACATTAATATTAGACACTTTCCTGTTTTTTGTTTTGTGCGATAATGTCACGCAGTTACCTTTTTATTAATAAAAATTTAAAATAGCTCTATTACATTAGGCCAAGCAAAGTTAATTTTCATTTTGCATTATCAGCCAACCCATTTTTTCAATTTTTCAAAAAAATTTTTTTTAAGTTAATTTTCCAATAGAATTATTATTTTTCAAAATTATCTGATAGAACTGATAAAAAAAAATTTGACTGCGGACTCAATTTTCTGATTTCATGTTATACTAATCGAAAATTAACTTTGTATTTAAATGTGAATATGAGTCTATTAAGTTACTGCTGATTAAAAAAAAAAAATTCAAAAATCTGAACACTGACCATGGATTTTGAAATTATGTTGATCACTGAATCAAAAGAGATTAAGTTGGGGTGTTACACACTAAATGATTTACAAACATAGTATCGAGATTATAAAAAATTTAATAATTAGAATTTTTCACTGGAAAGATCAGATCTACATGGATAGATTCTTGGGTGTAAAAATTTTTTTAATGTATTTATTCTTTTTTAATGCATTTATTTTTGCTTAATAATTCCTTTAAAATATTGCTAGCAGCCGTCTCTCCAAGCTCTTCTTTAGCATTTTCAGCAAAGTTGTATCTTTGTTCTTTCCGAATAGTTATTAAGTCTTTACGAGCAAACCTTAATTCTGGTTTACTTGGACCTGAGAGTAGAAGCCTTGCTTATTTTACTTCATCGGCCATATTTGGGTGTGTCTTGATGTCATACCTATTGAACATGCCTTCTAATTGTTGTTGGTGTGTTATAATTGACTAAATTCTATATTTAACGAAATCATACAAAAGAGGAAAGTTAGAAAGTTTGTGTGAATAGGAGACTGAAAAGATAAGAAATTCTTCCAAAAATTTAGGTTCTTTTAACATATTAAATAAACTAAATAACTAATTATTTCCATTTAACTTATCTTTATTTAGCAGCTCAATGTATAGAAGTTCTTTTTCAGTTTTTTCAATATTTAATGGTTTATTTAAAAAAACAGAACAAATACTTCGTGCAAAATCAGGACCATTGCTTCCACCTAATAAGCAAATCGTCAAGGGTAGATAAGTCCAGCAGCCCATCCATTTTAGAAATCCTTTATGGGCTTTCTTTAAACCAAGTTTTATATCATGTATTGAGGCCGTAAGTTCTTGATCACTTAATTTTAATTGTACTTCATTAAGTTCTTTTTCAAAAATAATATAAGGATTAATAATCACTTTTTCTAATTCTTCAAGCCAAAATAAAACTTGATCAGGAAGTTCATGTGCACGGTGTCCAAGAAGTAAACATTTGAATGTATTATTTTCAAATACCCGAGGTATAGAATCAAACCCACTTAGAAATTCAAAAAATTTTAAGTAAAAAAATTGCCCAAATCGTGCCATATATTTTACTTGAAAATTAAGTTTTATATCATTTAACTATTCAACAAAAACTTTCAGGTAAATTTTTAAATTGTTCAAATTTATTTATAAGCAAAATACTAAAAAGATTATGAGCATTAAAATTTTCAAGGTATTGATTCGCCGTTATTAATTGATATTTCCATCTACTTGAAATATGCTTTTGATATTTGGGTAGGTTATATTGCAAAAGCATCCAATATAGTCTTCATATTGTACTAGATTTCATATTTAATGAACATTCTCTATCACTCTCTTTATAGCCGTCATGTAAATAATAGGCAAGCTGAAGAAGATTGCATGAATGTTTTTTTAAAGATAATCCTGATACCATATTTATCTTTCCAAATGTGGTTTTTTCAAAAGCAACTAAAGATATTTGTAGTGCATGTAAACCGCATGGAATTCTAAACGAAGATGCATTTGCTTGCAAGTTAAATTTAACGATGGCTCCCGATTTATTTCCTGACATGTATGCTGTATTATCGGTAAGCCAAAATCCACATAGTGCTGGATCTAGATTATTTTCTTTATATGTTTCTTTTACTGTTTTAGCTATAATAGCTCCGCTGCATTTATTTAGATCTATAATTTTTGCAAGAGTAATCATCAGCTGATTTTTATGCTTATTCCAATATGCAAAACAAACCAAAAACACCTTTTTATCTCCTCGTGTACTTTCATCAGCCATTACACCATACGAATATGCAGGTAAATTTGGGTTTTCTGGTTGATTTTGATTAAGCAATATCCTGGCAACTTCTTTATTCCATTGAGAAAGAGTTCCTGTTGATAACCAATGTTTTGGTATTTCTCCAGTAAAGAATGTTGCTATCACTTTAGCACATTCGATGGTTGCTGAAAGTGAAATTGTTCCAATATTGCTTATCTCAGTAGCAAGTTTAACAAATTCAGCTGTATACTCATTATTATTTCGCTTTATCATTTTTTTGTAGCTATTTGAAATTGATTTTTTTTATCTTTTTTGATTTCTGAGCTACAGATCAAATTTTAGAAATATATTGTTGTTTTCTTTTTTTAGCTTGAACGATTTTTACACAGAAAGATCTAAGTTTCTTATTCGATTGTTCTACTGATTTTGTTAATGCTTTGTTTTTACTTTCTAACTTTTTTATTTTATTTTGTAAGTAGAAAGCAGATGAATAGTGTTTAAAGAGACCACTAGACACAAACTCAATTGCCTTATTTTGCAAGTATGGCGATAATATTTGGCCTTTCATATTACCTTGAGGATAGATCATGGTATTAACTAAATGTTCGATTCTTATGATTTGTTGATTTGGTAAATTTTTTATTTTATTATTTAAAGCATTAAGCTTTTTTTCAGTTGCACTTTGTCACTGGGAATTAGTTGAATCGATATAGTCTTGTATTTTTATCCTTTCTTCTTGGTTCAAAATATCAATTATCTCATAAATATTAATATTTTGGATTTGAGAATTAATCGAATTAATGTAGTTTTGAATGTTTGTTAATTCTTCATGATTCAAAGAGTTTATTATTTCATAGATATTATCATATCGCTTTTTGGATTCACGATCCTTAGCAATTTTTAATAAATGTTTTTTTTTATTTGTATGACGCGTCATATTTAATACAATTAAGTTTTAATATTGAATTTTGCGCTTTAAATAATAAATCTAAACAAAGATTATTTTATTTTTGACATAATTATGAAATCATTAAATCGATTTATCATTTAATCTATTAATAGTGTTATAGTCAATTCGATTGACAATAATTAATCAATTATTAATCGATATATAGCTGAACTAAGGAATATAAAATATATTTTGAGACATATTTTGTTTAAAATTTTGATTTTGCAAATTCTATTATATACAAAAGAAATTTAGAAAATAATGCTTCCAAAAATCTACATGTTAAATAACCATTTATCTACGCGTTTAAACAACATATTAAATTTATTTTATCACTTTTAGACCAATTGAATACATATATTAATATCATACAAAATGAGTACTAACTACATATTTAACTTCAAATAATATTCATTTATAAGACATTTTTACTTTAAATATAAAAACTATGTATATTATCAATGCATTTACATACATTCGCATTGATTGAAATAATGCGATATGGGTTTAAGTCTATCTTCAAAATGCTCTAACTTCAGCATTAGCAAAGCAAATTCAATTAAACAACTTGTAAATGATAGATAAATAGCATTGCTTTAAAACTATGTTGCAATATTTAATATTTGTATCCAAATTTAATAGGTTTCTATAACTTAACCGTTCAGATAATTGATATTTTACTATTAAAATTTATTAATTTGTCATTTTAGCCGAATTAGTTAAATAAATTAAAAAATGTCTCAACATAGTTTCAAAATTACATTATTTATATATCGTTTGCAAGTTGCAAAATTGAATTTGCTTGATTAGAGCAGGAGTTAGGGCATTTTAAAAATATACGAATTTTATAATAAAATTACTATGTTAAATTTTTTTAAAAATAAAATTTTAAAAATCTTACATAGTACCCCGATCATATAGTGCTACTATGTTTGTAAATCATTTAGCGTGTAACACAACAGGAGGAAACGTCCAAATATAGATATGATTTTCATTCTCCATTACACAGATCACTCATTGTATCGACCAGTCAAATATCACTACGG